AAAAGAGGAGGGGGAGAGGAAATGGGAAAAAAGAAGGGGAAAAAGAAAGGAAGAGGAAATGAACATGCCTAAGATTTATCTAAATCAGGCCACTCTGCCCGGCCTTCCTCTCCGTGTAAAAAATGCCGGCTACGCCATTGTGTCTTAGAATGCACATTCTGCACAGCGATATTATTCATTCATTAACCAGCTTAAATTTGTTTTGCATGTAACGTTTTTTTGTTTCATTCTAATCAGTTGATTAAAATTATGAAATTTCCTTCGCATAAAGATCAGTTGAACGCTTTCTGCAGGAATTCATCACCATCAGTGTCGATGTTTGCCGGTGTGGCTGGTTCTAGGGAACGGATATCTCCACAAGCCATACAAGATTTACTCGAACTTTCGCGACTAAGCGTCACAGACGGACGGCGTCGTGCGGTTTCTCCTGACAGTCGACGCAGTAGTCGAAGCCCAAGCCCACCGAGCTCTAGTGGCCGTTCCAGTCCGGGTTTGTTCCGTTTTGTGTTCGTGTGTTCACCACATTGTTTTTTTTCTGAAATAGTTACTAATCTGAAAGTTTTTCTCTTCTTCTAGAAATCATTTTGTTCAAAAAATCTTATCAAACTCTATATTGGTACACAAGGGTGAACGAGCCCGCGTATTTCCAGCTATCAGTATTACTCGTATGAAGGGGTCATTGTCTGGCACAGGCGGAATGCGTAAACTGAGTTCTTCGCCACATCTGCTTGGTATATGTGAGGTTCGTATCAGTATCTTCTATTTTCTGTGTTTGTTCATGTTTTATCGCTATGTCGGTTTTTATCATCATTCACTGATGATGAATTAGCAATGGTAATTGGTTCAGAACATTTCCGTCATTTAGTGTTCAGATCTAAATGGGACTCAGATTCAATAATATTTTGAGATATTTCAATTGTTAATCAACTGCAGGAGTCTGAAGAATCTGAGCAACCGTCAGGAAGCCTTGAACTAAGAGATACGACTGCTAGGCGAAGTGTTTCAAGTGCTTCTGGCTCGTATATGTCACAGGCACGTTTCTCCTCCCAACCAAAGGTTATCATTTTTTTTTGTCTGTTCACGTATCATATTCTGTAGACTAAAAGTTCATCGCAAAGCGCTTACTTCTATCACGAAAAATTTTGAAAACCGATGGAGTAAACAAATTCAGCTGTCTTATAAGTTTATGTCTAGTGAACTTTATACGCTGAAATAATTTCGTTTTCTGAAATTTCCATTCTTTCATTGGTTTTTGAATACAAGTTCAGTATGTCCTAGGTTTTGGATGTCTAACAGCGATTCATTTTTAGTCAGATGCATCAACGACAGCATCTGGAACGATGCTCACTTACAGCAAGGTACGAATGATTCGTCCACGGCAAGCAGTTGTATCGCCTGATATGGCAAGACGTTATGAATCGCATTCGACCCATCGCTTTGGAAGCACGAGAACACGGCGAAGTACAAGGTTACTTTTCGAGGAGATTTTTCAGATCAACGAACGATTATTGTTTATTATATGTTCATAACATTGAATAATTAATGTTTATGCCGTTCAACTGATTTCCCTTGATGAGTATAGAATCGTGATAAAGCGCAGATCGATTCATTAAATCATTTGGTGATGATTCCGATGAATGCTAATCTCACCAAGAGATATCACAAAATTTTCGTCATAATTTCGTGGTGGGTGGTTGTAGTCAGTGCCTTGCCGAGCATTAGCTGTATTTCAGGTCAGAAAACAGATTCAAAGAAGCTTTTCTTCTTCAAGTAGAATCTTTCCCGATCACTTCGATGACAGGAAAAATCAGTTTTTAAATCCGTTTCTCGACCTGAAATATGAGTAACTACTAAGCGCACCGACAATAAGGAGCCAACAAAAAAATCATGCTGGCGAGGTGGTGATGTCTCGTTGTTAATAATTAAACTGCACTGAAAAATGCTGTATATCGTTTACAGCTGTTCTTCAAGTGAGGCATCTGATGATGACAGTAGTGAAAGACGTATGAATTTGCTCGTCTCGAAATGTTGTCGTTGTTCCACCGATAATCCAAATGATGATGAGGATCCATCGAAAGGTTTTATTCGTATATTATTTTTGCTATTGTCACACTTTTAAATTATATCATATATCCATTAAACTTTGAAAATAATGTCCATTCGGCAGAACGAGGTCGAATTAAGGTTAGAAAAAATGATTTGTGAGAAGAACAAACAGTTTGCGTATTTTTAGATGGAGGAGGGAACAGTTTCGCGGGTGCTGGTGGCGATAATGTGCCTGATAGCTCCGTATCGAGTCGTATTTCTACGGAAGGCAACGCAGCAGTGCATCCTACTTCAGGTTTTTATTTTCTTTACACCGACTATTGATGCGCTACTGACTTATGGGAGAAATGAGATATTTCGCCGGTTCATTCATTCTCATCAATGTGACAAGAACAATTAATATTCCCTCAAAAAAGTCTCTTCTCTTGAAGTTATCATCCAAAATGCTGCCTCGATCGTTTTTTCTTGGGATACTCTAAGATGAAGATAACGTTGAGGTGATGGAAATGGTGCAAACAAGTGCAGACGATGTTTGTCATTCCATGATTATTCCGTTGAGACAGCAGAAAGCGCAAGACGTCTCGTCTCAACTACACCACTTCATCCCATAATGGAAATACCACCCACAATATTATCGGGAAAAGTTTTTACGAGGTTGCTAACTAATGACATTTCCAAGTAAATTTGATCGATTCATTGATTGTTTTGTGCAATTTGTTGTGAAGTAATCACTGATTGGTGTTCAGGTCAAAAATTGCTGAAAGAGCTGTGGCAGATTGGGCATTTAGTTCACTAACGAGCGATGATGTGCTGTTGTCAAAGGCTGAATGGATGCAGCAGCAGCGTTGTTGTGTTGTTGGTACACCACCAAGATATGGTGGTGGCAGTAAGGCAGTAATGAGTGCACGCAGTCATCATCTGAATTGTGATGAACGTTCACTTCGCAAATCTTTGTCATTACCAGTCATCTTCACCTCTTCACATTATCATGTTGGCGAGCATTTGCATTGCTCACCATCTTATTATGACGACCCTTCCGATGAAGATGTGAGTGCTTTCATCAATCGTTGTGGTTGAATGCTCCAGTGTAAGGAGCAAGTAAAAAAAAGAAATCATGAGTGCGTACTCAGGAGCGCTTATTAGATTAGTATTTGCAGTATTGCTTGGCTGATTCAGATCATCATCATCGCATTATTCATTGTTACTACCGTTGGCATGCGATACGTTGTTGAATTGAGCGACCATACACTGACAATTGTTTGCAGATATTTTCGGATGAAGAGCTGGATTCCTCATTGTGTTGGACAAGCACGGACTCGGGTTGCTCGTCTGATAGCGAAATAGGCACACCGGCTTGGCAGCACTTTCCAAAATCAAACGCTAAACAACATGCGGCGTACAACGATGACTATTTTGTTTCAGTGCCATTCAACCCGAAAGTTATCTTCTCTTGAAAATGAACAAAAAAAAAAAAGATCTCGTCCAGCTCTCTCTGTTTCTTTTTAAATGCTTTATTTCTAATATTTCTTCTCTTGGAGTAACTGTTTTCATATTCTTTTTAGTTTTGTTACCGTGATTGTTCATCCTTGAAATTTGATTTCATCATCCTTTTTTACGACTAGGATTTGGTTTGGTTCACATTTTTTGATTACTATTTGTATCATTTATTCAGAAATCGGATGTGCAAACATCAGGATGTTCAACTCGATATTATCCAAATAGTAACATTTGCCATGAACCAAATTTTTCATTGAAAGTTCGTCATTGTAATTGTTTTTCGTTGTTGTTACTAAGTATCTTTTTGTATTAGTACAAATGGTGAGCGTCGCACATGTACTTATTGTGTGGGTTGTATTCATTTTCTTAACGGATTTAGCGATTTGATTAGTTTAACATTGATTTTTTATCTGCGATTAATATTTTTGCTTACGTTGATTTATTGTGAAAGAATGTTTTATTTATTTCGATGTTGGTCGATGAATTATTGTTATATGTCGAATTCAGAGGGGTACGAATTTCGGTTTTGTTTCTTTTCCAACTTTATTGTCTGGATGATTTTCAATGATGAAGTCAGGGTAATGTGATTGCTTCAGTTTGCATTCACTACGAAATTTAATTGGCATATTTTGATTCCTCATCTATGAAGATTCCCTTGTTGATTTGTGGAGAATGACTGAATGCTATTGAGCTATTCACGTGGCTTGTATACACAGATTCTGTTTGCATTGTACGTTGCTCCAGTTGCTGATCATACTGATTTCTACTACTCAGGCAGTAATTCATGACTTCGTTTGTACTTGTTCTTAAAATAGTATTTTCACTCTATTTGTATCTTCAATGTAATTTCACTGATAGATTTCTATACAGAATTCTTATGAATCAAACATAACTGTTTAGTTCGTACATTGCATGTGCAGATCATTTGCTCGTATCATTCACATTTGAACAGGCCATTCCCTTAATGAAAACGTGATGTCCTAGTTCGTTTCTTTTGAAATTCAAATTGAAAAAGTCATAAAATTGCAGATTTTTTGTATGCAATTTGATGAGCGGTTCACTTATCGTTAGATGATTTTACGAAAGAAATTCATGCATTTGAATTTATATTTAAGGGGTTAGCATGGTGGTTTATATTATGAGTAGTATTTCTGGAAGGATATATGTTGATTCAACACAAAGATCATTACAACAACAAAAAAAAAATCAGTGAAGAGAATGAATTTACTTGGACTGAAGAGAAGATAGACTGAGTAAAGTAGGGGTTTCTTAGTGGAAGGTAATGTATGTGTTTACGAGAGATGATTGAAAATGAAATCAGTTATGCAAGAAAGGGTAAAGTTTTTTATGATTCCGTTCTTTTTTTTTATGATTCGCTCTTTTGCTTAAATTGCATAAATCTTTGTCACAGCAGCAAAACTCAATTGGCACCCCTTGAAAATCGCTGATGTAGCACTGATTGCGAGAAAACTGAAATAATGAAATAATTAGTAATACTTCGACTACTACAAACTGTTAACAGCTCAGACTCTGATATGTTTGTGAAGGCTCAACTTAGCTGTAGATGCATGACGAAGATAAGGTAAATGATCCTTATCTTCAAACTGTTCAGATTTCTAAACCATATTGCCGGCTGAAATGCGAGAAATTCAACGTACCAAATGATCAAACGTTAACTAGAAATCTCGTCTAGAAGACAGTCTATCTAGAAGATGTCTGATTATCTTCTTTTCTTGTCCCTCATTTAGATGAGAAACGGTGAAAGAATGATAATCTATCAGCTGTGAGAAGTGATGTGGAATCACGAACATGGTGATGAAATGATGAATTAAAAGCTGACCATGCATCTAAGAAGTGCGCATCCTACACTCTGTTCATGTTTTATAATGTCTTTGTCTCCGGTCATGTTGTAACAAGAATATGAACTGCTCATGCATTCTTGATTATCAGTACCGAAGCGCCGCCCTCGAATTAGTTTGAAACCCTTAATCAGAAATTCGTTGGCGTGGTTGAAGTTTTGATAGTCGAAGTGAAGAATCGGCTTTCCAAAGAAACAAGAAGTACGTGAAGAACGTTTCTCACTCGATCATCAAAATTTTACCGATAATATCATAATGCTGAAGGTGTGCGGTTATAATTGGCGAGTGATTGCACTGAATTACATTAAAAGATAAAATTTTAACCGTGTAACACTTGATGGT